GGCGATGCGTACGACAACTATTGGTTAGTCTACTTTACACCATGACGAGGGCGCTCGCGCTGTACCCTCTAGACGGCACCTGACAGGAAACCGGGTTTCCGATCCAGACATGCGATTCGGGTTCCATACTACGTCGGCCGCTGGCACCGGCTCCTCTCAGAAAGGCTCGCTAGGAAGGCCTCTTGTACGAGCAAGCTAGAAAGAAACGGAAGAGGGAGGATCGGGAGGCAACGCTCCTCGCGAGCGTACAGCATACAATACTTCACGACGTGCTTCTCCTAGTGTGTGGTCATAAAACGTGCCGCATCGCCTTGTCGCCTGCAGCGAGTAGCGTCAACGACCATTTACGGAATCGGCATGACGTGTCCACCGACAAACGGAGAGAGATCGCAAGCATTATCCGAGAAAACCAACTTCAGGAAGAGTGTCATCGTCTTCGAGGCCCGACAACGGCCCCGCCACGACCCGACAACTCCCCTTACACCGACCAACTTCAACTGCACGATGGGTTCCAATGCGAATCCTACTCGTTCCGTACAATCAGCAAGCCGATAATGGTACGGCATTTTAAACAAGAACATTCGACCGTAACTACCAAAGGCAGGTACCGACGCAGCGCTACCTCCGTCCTCCTACAGTCGTGGATCAGGAACCCGCCCTGGTCCGAACACTAGACTGTGCCCCGGAGCGGCGATACCAGTACCGATATCGGGCTCGATACGACGACTACGGCGACGCGCCACCTACACGACGTGCTCGCCCACGAGAAGATTTTCCATCAGTTTACACCACGTATACAACAGGTACCGACAACATACCGGTCTCCTTCGGGCCATGACGACGCCGGCGAGACACCTTATACAGAAATGCAACCGTGGCTCGCGCGGACGCAGTGGCAGCGTACCTACCGCGACATAGACCGCCGGCTTCTTCGCTTATTAACCTTACGACCCCAGGCGCGCCCTTATGCCCTGTTCCTGGGGACCGAATAATAGGGCGGGGCCGAGCTCCTCAGTCCCGCGTCCGGTAAAGCGAAGATTAAAGCGCTCTACGAGGCCACGGATCGCATCATTACGCGATACGAGGAAACGACAACGACGACAGGACGAAATACCTTATACTAGTTAAACAGCGTACGACCTACCAGCTACTTCCCGAAACCCTTCCGGTTCGTAGCCAAAGAACAAACCCGACAGATACAGACATCAAGCCGAGAACGGGAGACGTGAAGTCGTACCCAAGATTTCGTCTGGGCATACCTTTCGTTGAAGCCCATAGCTATTAATGGTATATCCTGCTGTGATAGTGATTGACCCTGGCGATACCATCGCTCCCAATAGATACGTAAGCTGGTACGAGACTCGTGAAGCCATACTAACTGCTCTGGCGTCGTCCACTGCGCCTCCAGCCATCGCATTCCTAGCCCAGGGTGGAGGATAACAGCTGCCGCGTATAATGGAGACTCTGCTAGCTTGGTGTAGTATTGATTGAGCTTCTTCCACGCGTTCGTGATAGAGAGACGGAAGTATTGTCGTGAGTCTTCGGAGAGTGCCTCGAGGCGATGAGAGGGCATCGTGGAATATTCGCTCTGTGTGTGTATGGGGAGGGAATGGATTGATGGGGGCGTGAAGGAGCTTTGCGTACGAGGTTGACGACCTCTCCGACGAGTTGTAGATACTCGGGGAGAGTCTCTGGTACTAGAGAAGTCGTCAAAGAACGACTTCCACTGTTCCATTTGCTCCAAGATATACTCCATACCCACGAGTAACTCCCAGAGCGCCCCATGGCTTCCATTCTTAGCCCATCCATGCGCGCGGATTGTTTGTCGGTATAATGGCTCAAGAGCCTCGCGGAGTTCTACAAGGAGGCGCCAATCCTCAAAGGTCAGAACGTCGTCTTCCGGTATACGTTTATGGGGGTCGGGTTCAGAGAGATTCTTCTGGAGGAAGCTTTGGATATCGCTACGCTTCTTGAGGGCCCGATCGAGCATTAAGAACGTTGAATTCCATCGCGTTTCGTTATTAAGGATAAGCCGGAGCTCAAGGTCGGATTGCTGGTAGATTTGGAAGCTATCGTCGGCTTCTTGAGCTTCTTTGGCGATGGTTTGGAAGTATTCACTACGCTGTGGTGAAGAACGAACCCATTGGACGATGTTATGAAGCTTACCAATAGGTCCCCTCTTCCTCCAGTGACGAAGAGAGTCTTGAGAGTCGCTTGATAGCTCTAGGGCTTGCGATTCTTGTTCAAAGACCTCACTATCCTCTCCATATAAGAAAGCCCTTCCAACGAGGTTCAGGATATGGCCATAGCATCGTATTCGTGGTTCTAACGCGTCATCAATCGTCATAGATGGAATTAGCTGCTGGAATAGCTCTTGACCACAAGAATCGTTAGTCTGCGCGTTGTCTGAGACCAAGACGCCAATACGATCTAAGATATCCCACTCCCTGATGATGGATATAATAAAGGCTGCGGTATTCCGGCCTGTGTGGCTTCCGCACTGTTGTCGGAGAGCAAGAAGACGCTGCTGTCGAACGCCACTATAGCTTATATAGTGACAGGAAACGGCCAGTATCGCCAAGCTATTCGGAGAGGTCCAGTGGTCGAATGTAAGGTGGATCTGAGACTTTGAAGTTATTAACTGATGTTGTATCTGTTTCTTCTTTGCGGTGAAAACCCTGGAGAGACTCTGTCGGAGAGAGGTTCGTCCCCAGGGTATTACTGGGGCGATATGAGGATTCAGTTGCGTAAGGAGCCGACTGAGGTATGGGCTATTAAAGATATCGAAGGGCTGGTTTGTCGTCACGACGAATGCAAGAGCAAGCTCTTCTGCTTGATCTGTCGAAGACTTGTGTATTATGGTACGCCGCGGCGTTGACTCTGAAGTGCTTGAAGAGTCTTCCTCCGTCTGTTCACTTGAGGATTCGAATACCCTATGCTTCTTCCGTAGATGACTTGTTGCAGAGGTTGTTGAGGTGGCCTTGAAGAGCTGAACGTTGTGAGTCTCGTCACATCGTTGACAGAGCCAGAAGCTTGGCCCAATCGTATCTCCTTCGAGGATCTCTGTAATAAAGAGCCCATAAGCACGTATCCAGCTTCTGCGATCCCTTGCTCCCTTGCGTGCAATCTGTGACGTGAGGGTGAAGCGACGGCGACGCCAGGTCGCAATGGGGAAGGGGTGGGAATCTGCTACGTTGTTTGATTGCGAAGTCTCTGATAGTTGTGACGATATCGTTGGAACTGGAGTCGAATTGAAGATCGTGAGGGAAATATTGAGGGTTCTTGAAGTCGGCGGGTTGATATTCGGAAGGTAGAGGTCGTGGGGTGGCTGTCGGAGGGATTGAAGTGATATCGCGAATAGAGGGCTGGAGTGTTTGAAACTGCGTTACACATCTACGCGATATTTCGGAGTGTAGGATTAGTCAGCCCTCGGAACTTTCTTAGTATCATTGTTGCAGCGCTCTCAATAAGATTGTGTGGTCTAGTGGTATGGTATTCTGACTTTATTGGCAGAAGGCGTAGGTTCGAATCCTACCCCAGTCACAAGAATTGCACGCAAACTTGAAGCCCAAGTTCGCGTGCAATTCCCTTTTCTCGGTCACATGATACGCCGGAATATAGAAATCCCGAGATTCCCACATGACTTGACAGTATCCAAACAGCCAATCAATCCGAATGGGGTAGTTTGACTGTTTAAATCGTGAAATATGTGTGACTTGATCGGTTGTTTGACTGTTTGAATTGATAGGTTTGAATTGACGGCAGCGCTGGCTGGTAGCCTCACGTGACTTTTGTGACGAACACCTGTGAACTAAGTTGACCGACTCTGCAAAGGCTCAGACGAAGTCGAGCAAACCCGTATCAGAACTATCACCATGTCTGGAGAATAGAATTTTACAAAGAGCTGCGAGGCGAAGTTTGGAGGTGCGACACACATTACCAAGCTTACAAGGCTCAATCTAATTTCTTGATCGAGGATACTGTCACCGAACGGACACCCACAAAAAAGACACAATTATCGTTAACTGCCTACTCAATCGACAGCAGACGAACCATATAGCACATGACGTCTCTTCCATAGTACGCGTCTTTGTCCGGCGAGTTGAAAATCGACTGGTCGCATGTGGAAGTACAGTGAAAGACACGAGGAGCCTCCGCTGCTATGTTTGCAGAAAATGGCACGTTGTGGATACTTCATAATTTGTTCTGGGTCGCCCAGAGGCTTATCGCTTTTGTTTCGCGTCATGCGGTATACGGGCACGCCTTGTGATCGTGGGTCATATCGCTGGCAAGGTCTGATTGGCAAGAAGCATACAAGCTTTTACGACATCACCTCAAAGACCTGGTCATATTCGTGCAGAAAGTTGATCAGTCGGATTTCCAGTGATGTACAAGAAAAGACTTTGGCCCAGTCGTATGCTGAGGAGCAGCAGTCGCAATCGGGAGCGCGTCGACCCGGAACCAGCTCCGACTGGACAGCCTCCAATGGTGATTAACAACTATATCCCAACTACACTCAGCCATTAACCCCTTGGTAGCTCGGTGGGTGCGACTCGCAGCCGGCTATTAGTTCACCACTGCCCCTTATCCCGGGAATTCACTCTGTGACTGGCAATGCCGAAAGGTAGGAGGACGGATCAGAATAAGCACTATGAACTCGAGAGAGACCTGGCACTGGATCACAGTTTGGACCTGTAGCACGTTCATGAGAAGAAGGGGTTGCAATCTATGAGGGACCACGGTGTCCTTATAGGCGCGGAAGAACGGTTCATGAGCGATATCATGCCCTTCTTGAGGCTATATCGCCCACTCTAGGAGTGTACTGATCAAGTGGACCCAAAGAGATCAGCAGTTGTTTGGAGGCTTTCGCTCCTCACGAAACTCCTTTGACATGTGATCTCAAAATGAAGTCTACTGGCGCCTGTCACTCACTATTGTTCACCTCCCCTATCCAGGTCGTCAATGATATGCTCTTGCGTTGGGAGTATGTCAACTGACCGCTAACCCCCATCTCCATGTGGCCATCTGTCATCTGCCCGACTAGAAAGACTTTCATAAGATGGTCGTTTATGCGGCCGCGGTCCAGGGCTGAGAGTCGTATGGCCCCGTTTCTGGGCGTGAGACTTGTCCTGAGTTGTATCCGGTCTTTGACTTTCTTCATTTCTTGATCCTTTCCCTCCTCGACTCTCAAAAGTCGTACTGGTCTGCTGGTGAGTCTCATCCCCAGGATGAGCATAGATCTCATCGACCTCCAAGGGCAGTTCTGAGTCTTGACTTGTTGCAAAAGACGTTCTACTGATACTGATAGTCGCATTGTCGGTCTGTTCCACCAATTTTAGACAGTCCTCGACCAGGCTTTCAACCCCATTCAACTCTGTCTTTAAGCCCACAACGTCGTCACTGCTTGCCTTGCGAAGGAATTCCCAACTGGCTTTCTCTGAAAGCACTGCCACATATTCAAGGGCTCGCAACAGTTTGTCGTAAGACTTCAGAGCACTCTCAAGCCTGTCGCAGCCAATATTTAGGTTGTTGTGGCTGGTGACGCCTAGTTTCCCCACACTCAAATCCCTCTTTACTTCCCTTTGATGACGCCTGAGTTGACGGATAGAGTGACCCACGAACTGGGATATCTCGTTAAGTGTTGCTTGCGCCTTTGCATTATAGTGAATTCTCCCGCTCTTGGGGCAACTGGGTTGTGTCACGAATAAAGGGTTTGTCAGCCAGCGAGAAGCGACTGTTTTCACCGCCGCGAGCGTATCCTTCGCCTTCCCAAGCCGGCTCCCAGATACGACATGAGATGGATCGCCACTTTGTTCAGTAGACCTGACATACTCTGAAGTCTGAGAAGAAGAGGGAGAAATCAACGGAGAAGCAGGGAAGGAGCATGTATCCCAGTCGTACCTGTCGTCCTCGGCCTCTCCATTCATCTCCAAAGCTTTGGTGAGACAGCATTTGAGGTAATCGTAATCCGGGTCTTGTTCGAATCCCAGTTCGCGTACGTACTCAAGGCATTTGACGAACATCGTGGACTGGGTACCACACAAGCTATCGGCCGACCTTTGTTGCTTGATTTCAAGAATTTTGTCGAGTCTGTCTTCCTTGGTAGGCGCCTTTAAGCCTTGCCATGGCAGGCCTCCCCTCATGAGGTAGAAGAGCACGTAGAATATGGATTCAAGGTCGTCTCGTCGTGACTGCTGCTTTCGGAGGTGTGCATTGATGCTCATGTACCGAGCCGTCCCCACCAGATCCATGCCTTCGCACGGGGGGATATGTCTCTCGGTCTTGGAACATCGATAGTTCTCCGCCATGGCAGGGTCGATAAGGGAAATTTTGTTAGGGTACTTGCTGCCTGGTCCATGGATGAGGAAGTTCTCCGGTTTTATATCGCGGTGTATCAACCCCTGTCCATGCAAGGCCTCCGCTATTGATATCTAAAGACTTTAGCTGGATTGCCCTAACGATCAGGGCCATGCAGTGCCACGCACCATCTGTTTTCCGATCATTACCACGGTCTTCAGGGTGAACTTCCGCCCACAACCGTCGAACAAGTCCTCCAGGGAGGGTCCCAATTGATCCAAAATGAGGATGTTGTGGAGGCCGTGCCGCCCAAAGTAGTACACGTTGGGGATGCCGTCTGTCAGTAATGATTAGCCTGTGGTGTTCGGATTTGATGCATAGAAGTCCTTACCAGATCCTTTCAGCTTTCCATATGCCTCGTATTCGGTCTGAAGTTGTGTCTTATGATTGGTCTGAAATTGTGGTTTACCGGGTTCACAACGCTCCTGTAGCAGCGTTAGTCTGAGGATCCGGTGTTCTGATGGATAGCTACTCACAAATTTGATCGCTACTAGCCGATGATTTGATAGGTCGATGGCCGCGTAGACAATGCCGAACGTTCCTTCTCCAAGCTTTTTTCCAACCTTGTACAACACGCCTTTGACCCGAAGAATATCATCACAGGTCACAGCTGATTGGCAGCCGGCAGCGCTTTCCGTATTCGTACTGTTGTTCTGATTCTTGAGATGGCCTCGGGGGCCAAGAGCCCGGCTGGATGCCTTCTTGGTTGGTCTGTGAAGTGACATTGGATGGCAAGGTCTTCAGGGTGGTGTTTTTCATCGCTTCTCGCTGAGTCAGCCAGTGTCATAAGAGGGTGCAGAATGAGGAAGAAAGTAGGAAAGACCTCGGGGGGACGGCGGCCTATATATGCATATCAGGGGTTGTGTGAAAGGGAAAGCAGCCTGTCAGCTACCAATACCTGCGCCTTTGCCGAGGCAGGGCCTGTCCCTCTTTCACCCCCGTCGCTACGCGAACGCTCTGATCATAAAATCGAGTTTCACGCATGATCATGATACCATGGGTCGATTTATAACGGAGAAGGCATTGCCAAATGCAAAACAGGGGAATCAGAGTTCTACCTCTTCAAGACGAGTTGTATCCATGAGGTCTCGATATCAGCGCTCCGTATGTACCCCAATGAAACTGCTGTCCTTACACTAGCATCCAACAGAATCTATATCTTCTCGTGTCCAGCATCGTCCAACAAGTCTTCATGACAAGTGAAGACTGACTGACAGGCTTGAGACAACCTATATCCTTCGCTTAGAGACCTGTCGACCAGCTTTGCTCCCTCTTCTAGGAGCATCATTGCTCGCGTCCGTCACCCAAGTCGTCTTCTGTTACACACAGTGGCCCCCCATTCTATCCAAGATGAATAGCGTCAACATTGGGCGGGTGTTCCCGATCAATAAGTTGGCACAATTTTCGGAATCCTTCGAAGTCGTCTTGAGTGTAACAGCAGTCATTCAAATCATTTTCCTGACCACCGGCGCATTCAAGGAGAAGCCGACAAAACGCGATGTCATCAAGTGCATTCGGGCAGTTGGGTGGTGGTCTACCCCTATCTACCATCCATAGCAGATTAGACGGGGCCCGAGATTTGCCGTGGTCCATAGCGTTTGCTATGAAGTGAAGATATCGTTGTAACAACGCTTCAGCAATTACTCCAGCATCCTTAAAGCCGTCAGAATCATTTCCATCTCCAACGGTCATTAACACGTACATTTCGTATTCTTTGAAAAAGCTCAGCTTCAAACCAGGCTCGAAGGCCTAGATCAATAGATATCAACCAGCGGAGGTCCGGCAAGCGGTCAGGGTTGTTGTTGAGAACTTCGATGGCAAGGCTGATAAAATGGTTCCTGGCAAGCGACTCGGCGTTTTGGTCATGTTTTTGAATCCCCCAAAATGTCGGGCTCGGCGTGGCTGGCTTGTCGGCGAAGACATTCACACTACAATGTTGGTTAAATTTCTCTTGCTGTCTCAGGGCGGTTGAAATACTTACTATGCGACTGCCCCGACCTTTGCCCCCAAAGGCAGGAACTCTGCCTTGATTGACCAAAAGCCAGCTTCCATCAGGCGATCCATCCACTTCCCGAGATCTGGAAATGGCACGCCGATGATCTGGATTGCACGGCCGGTCTGCAGGCAGTGAAAGAGTCCGGACACAAGGTCGTCCAGGCCTTCACAGCTTCCAAGGTCAATAGCGTGCAAGGGTGCCGTGCCTTCCCATGTAAGTTTCTCCTCATCAAACTGTACTACGGCGAGGTTTTGGTGCGCAATGGGTACATCGGATTGCGTCCTGCAGGCAGTGTATCAACAGGCGTATTGCAAAGGCAGGCACCATCGACTTACTGAGGGGTTTTTGATGGTTCCTGCACGCTGAGTCTTCTCAGAGGCTCAATCGGTGAAGGGGGAGGGTTATCGGGTAAGAAGAAGAGCGGAGGCGATACCGAGCCGACTGCACTTAACGGGGGACTTGGAGGACCATGACTGCAGTACCCGTGCGGGATGTTGGGGCCGGTGACTCGAGAAGGACTCGGGTATGACTGAGCATCAAGGAGGCTCTCGTCATTGCGGGCGTTGTGGTTGTGGGAAGTGCTTGGGGCAGGGGACAGACCATGTAGGAAGTCCTCGGGAAGCGGCGTGACACAGTCTTCCAATGGACCCGCCTGGGGGGGAGAGGTGGGAGTCTCATGTTCGGTATCATCGGGATACTCGCCCCTCTGGGCGTCGCTGGAGCAAGATGCCAATGTCAAGCCCGAGTCAGTCTGCAAGGGTCAGCAATGAAGTAATAAATGATTGGACTTGTGCCTACAGTAATAGAGAAGCTCCTTGTCACTAGGATATTGAGGGGGCGAGGGATCACCATGTTGGATGTATCGACGTGGGAGGACACGGGGGCACAGAAGTGCACTTTCGAGCCAGGAAGAATGCAGAGACAGGGGAGCGCGGCGTGCAGCGATAGATCCCTTCCTGGACACCGAGAAGGCAACTGGTTGCCTCACGAGGCTTTATATGCAGTGTCCAGCAACACTGCCAACCATTTGGGGGCCAACCCAGAGCGATTGCCAATCTTCATCTTTGGGGACATGTTCCCAGAAGACTGGGGTGTGCTCACGATAACCTACAGGGGGGCTATACCTGGGCGGTTCAGCTTGGCAGAGTGGTTTGGGGACATGTCCCCAAAATGACCCTTGTAGACAAAAGCAAGCAGGCATACAGGGGGTATGAGACATTGCTACCCCGCCTGGCGATCCCTGTAAGCGAGGAACCTTGACCATACACGGTGGTCCTACGGGGACACTCACGGATCTGAGAGAAGCAATCTTGGGGTCTCCTACCACCTTCGGCTGGGGATCTTGAGCTCCCACGTTCAACTCAAAGACACTCTTTCAACAATGGAGACTCGCAATCGAGAGCCGCATCAGCCGTTTGCCCGCTTGCAGGAGGTGCTTGGATTGAGCGGGGTACGGCTTGACGACCCAAAGGTAAGGCCCTCCAACGAATTTCCGAGTCTTGCTCAACAAGTAGTTTGTCGCCGCCATTGACGGCCTTCTCGAAGGCATCGCCAAGAACGATACGTGGGATAGACTTCCCGTTAGCTTGAAGGCGACAATCTCCAAGCACTTCTCGCGAACTGCCCCTCCTCTGGGATACAAGGAAGAAATTGAGCGTTGGGTGACCGCTGAGACCTCACTGCAACAGGACGCAGTCTGCCAACTATACCGGCAACTTCAGACTTTATCAAACCCATCGACGGCTGTAGAGAAGACCAAGCGACGGGCTTACTTGCTCGTGTTCTATGACATACGGGAGCAGTTCTTACGCTCGAAACAGCACAAGCTCATCAAGCACCTCAAGTCCAAGCTCACAGGCCACGACGAAAACAACATAAATAACAACTGTCATGATTGGGGGAAGGGAGGCCGGAGCCTCGACAGAATTTCTCGAGCACTGGATGGGCGCGGCGCACTATTCATGGAAGAATGTGACCTCATCGGTCGCACCACGTAAGTTGATCCAGGCAGAAATGGGCTCAGTTGCTAATACGAGAGTAAAGTCTGGAGTTTCGCGCAAAGAAGACACCGAATGTTGAGAAGATTGCCACGCAGCTCCGCAGCCACGGGGTTTGCCAAACGGAAGATACACAGTGGTGTTTTGATTACGCGGACAAGTTCTTCAATCATTGGAAAGTAAGCACCGCTTCATACATCGCGGGCTTGCGCACGCAGGAGAAACGCAAGGCAGGACCAGAAAAGCTCGCGCCGGCATCGCCAAAGCGGATGCGGTTCGACGCTCGTCAGGGCGACGACAGAAGAACCAACACAGTGCCCGAGCGAATTGTTTCGCGACTTGTCCCTTGCCATGCGCCGAACATGTGGCCGCTACCACTTCAGGAGAACGAGGTGGCATACAGCCTCATGGACGGTGTATATCCTCTCGGTGAGGGATTCATAAACGAGGATGCAACATGGATTGACCCAGCAACATTTGGGGCAACTAACATCGAGGATTTGTTACGTTCGACGCAACCCTAGATACGTCAAAGAGGGACAGATTTTGACGCTCTCTGTCACGTATACGTAACATCCAAAATCGACCTTCTGTTCTCCGATACTTGATTCTTCCGATACCTCTATCGGCACGAATATCCGTGGCGGGTTGTTGATTGGCAAGGTGGCCTCCTTTCGTATCCGGACACAGTTGACCTGCGCGTCGCCACCGACCTTAGCAGCAGGCTTTAGTCTTATTCTGACATGTATCGAACGGGCCGAGGCTCACCTTCTCCCTGTAATTGAACAGCTCCATGAAATGAGCGACGCTGTCTTTGAGCTTGCGCGCGTCCCCATGCATGTCGTGCCGGTCATCCACGGGAACGAGAAGGGACTTGATGTTGGGCAGGACGCGGATGAGCTCATCTTTCTGCTGATCGCTCAGGGGGTGTATCTCTAAATGAGACGGCATCCTTGGAGAATGGTGAAAGCCACGTCGGGTCTGGAACGGCGAGAGTGGTTTGTGGATGGGAGACTTGGTGCTGAGCCTCTGCCCCTCACCTCTGCGTTGGTGCCGGGATGTGCGTCAGCCTGCAGTGCAATCACACCGACCAAGCACCCGCAATTGGTACCTGGATACATGGAGCGATTGGCAGCCCCACATCACCAGCACACCATTGACCATCATCCTCGAAGCTGCATCATTATCGAATTGGGGAAGCATTTACATCAGCCGCACATCGTGTTGGAAGGCGACCCCAGCAGAGAGAATCTCAGCCGGGGGACCGACAGAGGGAGGGACAGATGTCAAGGCATAAAATCCTTCCTGGCGCCTTCGTGAGCTTTCAATGAGCTTGAGCAACTATTCATATCTCCAGTGAGCTACTCCTCGTCACCGAGACAGCCCCCAACTTCTGAGCTATTCGGCGACACCTTTATTGAATGGAGCCGACAACCCCCCGATCCCCCTTGAACCCACTTTCAAGGGCTACGTTCGTTCCGAGGAGGATGCAACACTTCTCGTGGACAGTTGTCTTCAGGGCAAACTTGCTCACGCACCCAGAGGACCTGGCGACGCGAAATTCCTCTCTTGATCCGGAGTGGTTCTACTTTTGTTGTGGAAGATAACGCAACCGGACCCTGGAGAGATCATTTGAATTGGGGCCACCCGGCTTTGATCAACAATCGGTCTATTGCGACTCTTCACGATGGATCTCTGACTCGAATGACCATCACCGTTACCCGTGGTGGCACGGAGCATCGCGTCATCTCGTACTTCAAGCCCGAGGACGTGAAAAACCTGTCGACCCCGTCACAAGAAGCGCAGAAAGGGCTGCACGCACTGCCATTGCCCTCGACAATGACACGCCTCCGCCAACCACAGTCTCCATGTCAAGTCTGGTTTCGCCTGAGGGACGAGTTGACTCAATCTTCATCATTGCGTGATCGCCAGGGCTAGACTGTGGGTTCACCGTGTCTTATCTTGGGCATGAAAAGCTGACCCCCTTTCTCAGGTTTCCCTGGGGCATAATCATGTTGGTCTGGTATGGATGCGTCCGCAGGTGTCCTAGTATTCTCAATCTCTTTCTCGGTAGTCATTACGTGCCAAAGAAAATACAACCGCTTCTCTAGAAGACTCTCTGCCAGCCATACTGAAGTGGACATAGCTACAACTATCTCTCAAGAACCAGGTCGCCACCCCTCCAACCCCCAAGATCCAAGCCCGGTGCGTCGTTTACCACCCAGTCTACCCGTGTGAGCCGAGAATAACAGTAAGTGCCGCAGAAGCGTCTCACCTCATAGCGAGTCATCAACGCATATAGCTTGATGAAGTCATGGCAATAGCCCCAGAGGATGCAAACAGGCAGGAACAGGACATCTCTCACATCTCTCCGAAACAGGCGGATTCTCTTGACGGTTTTGATGAAGAGCCACCAAGAAACGAAGCCTAGCCTGAGAGTGTCCTGAGATGGGCTGTCGGCAGTGGCCTTCCAACACAGTGACCACAACGCAATGTCCATCGGCAGACCGTAGTTCACAAAACCGGATAGGTAAAGCGCGTAAATTGCCCAAGGAAATTTCCTATTTCTCGTCGTCAGCAGGTCCCACGCTCTTGCTAGGTGATACTTCCAATTTGAGATGCGCCTTAACGATTTTGCATTGCTCCTTGGATTACTTCTTTGCCACCTCACAAATCTTCGGAGCTCAGATGCGGTCGTTCCAAAGGTGGTTTCGACCCGACACCTCTCGTCATTTTGAACTGCAATTTCCCAGCCTCCCTCAAGAAGCCATCGAGTCCAAAAGTTATCGTCATCCGCCCTCAGCTTCAAGCCATTCCAGGTTTCTGACACTAAGCCGTCGAGGAACTGGCGATCTTGCACGATCACTGCCCGGAACGCTGCCAATCGGCCAGAGAGGCAAGATATCGACTTTTCGATCGCCACAGTGGCCATGTTTTCGACGCCGCGTCGTTCGATGTAGTCAGCAAAGATCCAATTTATGATCCTTTGTATGATCGTGCCGGCCTTGATGCGGCTAGCTCTCTGGCAAGTGCCAACACCTCCAACTTGGGGGTTCTCGAAAGGGGCTAGAACCCACCCGTAGGTGCTGTGAGGGAAGGTAATGTCATCATCCGCGAAGACGATGACCTTGTGAGCTTTCCTTCTGGAGTCTGGAATGCTGTCTATAGCCCATTTGAGCTGCTCCCGCTTGCCGGCTTGGGCAACATGAGAGACGTACACTTTCAGATCTTTTTGCTTTGATATAAACAAATCTGCCTCGGCTTGCACGCGACCAAGCCTGGTGGAGGGCACGCAGATCGATATGTGCCTGCACCCAGCATTGACGTGAGATTCAAGCCCGCTGACCAGGTTGGCTATCTCATCACCGCGTGTGGCAATGACCACCGTAATGTCGATTGGCCTGAGGGATGGAGAGATCGGAGGCAAAACGGAGGCATGTCGGAAGTAGGCAACAATATGAACAACGAGTCGCGTGTATCGGAACAAGCTGAGAGGTGAGTGCCTAGTCATCTCAAACGATCATGGTGCTTACAATAGACCAATGAAAGTATGGAGCGAGGTCCAGGTGGTAAACATCTCGACGGATTCGGAGAACAACAGTGTGGTATGGCTTAGCGATGAAGAAGGGAGGTGAAGTCGCGTGGCTAGACTCAAGAAGCCCACGCTTCCTTTTAAGTACTGTAGAATTCCGTCTATTCTTTTGTTTGTTGACAAGACGGCTCTTAGGCTTCGCGCCACCTAAGTTAGTGGTGACAATGCCTCTGCACGATTTGTGGTTTCGCTTCGACTTTGGGGCAGGCAGGGAAGACGCAGTCAGCGTGCATGCTATCACAGTCGTCTCGCATTTTTGCATCTACAAGTCATCTACTTCTTCTGACTACCACCATCCTTGTCCTTGCTTCCTTCTTCGTTGCCAAAATACGCAGCGTTCCTAAAGGTTGCATCTTCGTCGATGATTGGTGCATCGTCTGAGCTTTTCGAGTTGCCTCCACCCTCACCAGCAGGTTTGCCATGATCTTGGGGGTCTGGCTTTGGGTTGGGATCCATTTTTCCTGCCGGTCAGCTACGTAAAGGGATGCTGCTATCACAAGAGGTACTGCACTTACTGATCGATTGAGAATCAAGAAGTTTGTCATTAAAGTCCCTGTGTTGAAGTGCAGATGGCGAGTCTCTCAGTGTCAGTCCTGTGCCGTTTTATACCTCCGGGTCGATGAGACAGCGAAGGATTTACTGACCCCGCTGTCCGACGGAAGCCACTCTGTGGCCATCGCCTTGGATAGAGCCCCCGGGAGACATAGGTGGCCGAGGAGTACACCTCGACCATCCAGGCGCATGCCCAATGACATTGACAGAACGACGCATACGTGTGGTGTATCCCCTTGGCTCGCATGGGCCTGCAGCTTCACCGGCCATGAGCGAGGCCGTGCTAACCCCTGACGGGAGACAGAGGTCAACGGCAGTTGACGCCAGGGCTTATTTCTCCAGGATGACCACCCCCCTTATTCTACTAAGTTCCGATGAGGATATGGCTTGGCGGTAGCCTAGGCGAGCGTGCAATCATTGCTGCCTTTCGATATTGAAGCAAGTGCCAGAGGTAGAAAGTCTATTGCAATCATGCCCTCGTCACGTACACAAAAGCCGTGGCTGTATGGCCTCACTGAACTTCCATGATACATAATTAGTGTGTCGAACGGATGTCGAATCTGTGGTACTTGCATGCGGGTGTAGCAGTTCCTTCGGGGGCGAGGTGATAATGTCCCGGTCATAGACCGGGGTGCACATAAACATCCCTATACCCATGAACCCTTCAACAAGGAAAGCCACAGGGCACCAACGATGTCAAGGAGGTTGCTTAAGACACGTCTGAATTACCGTGACAGGTTGGTTCATGAGTAATGTCAACTTGAGGCTCGTCACAACAGACTGGCCGCTTTCCCCGCTTGTTCTCTTAATCTGTGGTCTGAGCTCATGGTACAGGGGCTCTCACAGAAGGGTGAAGGGTAATAATGTTGGGTGGAAAGATAGCGACAGGGGTTTTCACAAATAGGTGATGAATCATGGTTCACAGGGGGGGACTCACAGAACGGTGAATGGTGGCAAGGCGGACCTAATCTAGCGACAGGATTATCACAAAAGGGTGATAACTCATGTTTTACAGGGGTTCTCACAGAGGGGTGAAAAACAATATTGTGGAGAAGGGTCACATACTACGGGCCTAATAATAGCGACAGGGGTCTTCATAAATGGGTGATTGAATCATATGTTGCAGTACTCACGAAAAGGGAGATACAAGCTAATCAGATTACCTGCAGTTATTGGTGTACCAAGTTGCTGACTCAGCGGGGATTTGGACAAGCTCCTGCCCAAGATGGGCATGAGGGAAGAGGGAGAACGACAGACGAAAACGGGAGCGGACGAGAAGCGCAGACACCCGTGTTGCAACTATTCAAATCCTACAAGCGATACAGTAAACCCAGTCATCGGTGCCTAATTCGCCATTGTGCTCCTCTTGCGCCCCACGTGACATGCTTGAGATGCTTTCTACCAAGGTCCTGTGGTCAGTTGCATTCTTGTGTTTGGATGCTCCGACCATCCGAGCTTACCTGATCAATTTTGATTCCTCAGGCCACAGTTGCGCTCAAACTTTTCCCGTGCCTTTGCAGCTCGTGCAGATGCCGCCATCTTTGATGCCGTTGTCGCAAGCCTCGCAATCAGCCATGGTCCTGACAGTGCCGTATAGCTGTGTTGATGTTTTTGACATGAAGTGATGGTGGTTGTTGTTACGCGCTGGTCC